AGAGGTGTTACAAGAGAGTAACAAACATAAAAAAGAAGAAGGGGAGATAAGGACGATAGATGTTTGATAGGAAAGAAGAAGCAGCAGCAGAGTCTCAGTTTGGTAAAAGTTTTACTGCGCTCACAACTGCATAAGAAGTTCATATGAGTGCATGGGACATAAGTTGGTTCTTTTCAAGTCTGAAGAGCTTGAAGTTTGAACTTACCAAAAGTGTAGAGCGTTCCAAACGACAGATGTACGAGAACTCCGCCAAATAGGACTGAGAGTCCTCGCCAGGTGCGACGGCTGATTCCTAAAATAGTCATCTTTTCAACTAGTCTCTCCTCCCCTCGTGAATGTAATTCACACTCCTCCCGTAGAAATCCGATCAGTTCAATGAAGGCACACCCAGTTCCATTGTAGAAGGAAAGTCATCCACTATCGTACCCTGAGACTCCAGAACATTAATGTGAAAGTCCAAGGGCCGTAGAGAACTCCAGCAAAACTGGACTTTTGACTTTAGTGCTTCTGTTCCAGCGACAGTTCCATTCAACCAGTAGATGACGCAGTTTGCAATACTTCACAACAGTCAAGGTTGCAGGAGAAAAGGACGCTGTGACTTAGGTCCCTCCGCCTCATAGGTCAGACATTCTCTGCATTCTGGGGAAGAAACGAAAAAAATGAAATTGTACCAAATATTCAGAGAAACAAAGAAATGGATTTCACAAATTATTTACAGATGCCAACTTCAGCAAATCAAATACTGTAAACGTTTTTTAGAATATCCAAACCAGCACTTTAAACTACTTCACATTCCCAGAGTCTGAAACAAAGAAACATTTGTTAAAGAGCAATTTGCAGTACAAAACGAAAAGTGATCTCACGAGTATGGATACAACCACATCAATTTAAGATAAAGAGCACAAATAAACCAAATCCAAAGCATTTCTACACTTTTCTTTCCTTTCTTTGTATCTGAAGAAGAAGAATGAGAGAGCCCCAGCTGTGTCTGGGTTCGGAGAAGACCAAGTCTGAGGTAAACTTTTTCTATAGTTTGAGCTAGTCTAGCACGTGAATATATATTAGCCAAATCAGCGGGACATGGAAATCTCTTTTTACGAAAAAATTTTGGGGCATGTACATCATGTATTAAATACAAAGATTATAGGTGTATAAGTGAGAGACAATTCGGGATTAACAATCTGTTCCTTAGACGTGTTCCACTGTGTGTATGTTCGTTATGTGTGTGCATTCTAGACTATAATTTTAACACATCCACCTCCAATTCTTTTTTTTTTTCAACAGTCAATGTATGAAACGCATTGCTCTGCTCTCGATTCTATGTTTTGCAAATGTTTACTTTCACTCCCCCAAGCAGATGCACTGCTTTGAGGGTCAAACTGCAGTAAGATTTGCCTCAGATCACACATATATAGCCACTAAAACCGTTGTTAATCAATTATTATCAAGAAAATTTCATACCTAATGGCAAAACATCAAGTTATGGGGAAAAACAGTGCCTCCCTCCCCATGGGAAAAACAGGGGGGGGGGGGAGGGGGCTGTAACCAACCAGATATTTTTTCCCTCAGGGAGACACGCCCCCTGAAATTCCCCGATTAGCCCAAAGCTAGGAATTACTACGCTATTACACTAAGGGCTAGGCTGACATCGTTCAAACTAAAAATATCCAACTTTTCTGAAACTACTCATCTGTGATGATTATAAAGTCAATACTTCTTTACTTCTTTGTATTTTTCCCCTCCTCTGGTATCCTTAGGATGTCCAGGTGCAGGTTTCGGTCCTGTGCCAGGTGTGTGGCGTCTATGATAGAAATGTTATGTTGTTCCAGGACCTTTTTCACCCCATCCAGTCAGGTCTTTCTTGGTCTTCCTCTTGATTTGAAGCCGGATTCACAGGTGTGGTAAGCTCTTGCCGCTAGTTTCTGGGGCATTCTGGTTAGATATCCAAACCAGTTGATTCTTTGATGCTCAATGAAATTTATTACTGGTGGTATTCCGGTTTGTAAGCGTATTACAAGGTCAAGTTCCTTGCGGTCTCTTCTGGTGACATTGATGGTTTTGCGGAGACACCTCATTTCACATGCAATGATTTTTCTTTCTTACCTTGTTTAGAAGCCATGCGTGGTATGTTAAGGTTGGTATGAAGATGCTGTTGATGAGCTGGGAGTTCACTTCAGTTTGAATGTTCTTGTGACTGAGCAGGGGTGCGAGCTGGTAGGTTGACTGCCTTTGCCTTCATAGTTCCTTTTTTCTATTTCTTTCTACAAACACACATCTTGTGAAAATATTCTCCAAATAAATTCCTCTGCTTGTGTTCCATAAATAAGGATGTTGAGTTTCCCTGGCTCTCTGCTGACCTTCGTACCTTGTTTTTGAAATGGAGATTTCCATGTTGAGATGTTTACACGTACGGCGCTGCAAACTAACAAAGGGAGCCAAAGCAGCAGAAGCCAAGCGAATCACCAAGGCCAAACAAAACACGCAACGTGTGCAAGTCTAGAGCTGCCTCCACACAAGTCCTACAGCAGACTACCCGTGCCCACAATGTGGGCGAACCTTCCGAGCCCGGAGAGGACTAATCAGCCATCTCCGGACCCACAGTCACCATCAACAGACCAATTTGTGAAGTCATGGTCATCTTCATACTCGAAGGACGAACAACATGCATGAATAAGGTGTGAACGAGGCAAGGTGTGTAAGGTGTGAACGAGGCAAGGTGTATAAGGTGTGAACGAGGCAAGAGGTGTGAACGAGGCAAGAGGTGTGAACGAGGCATGGTGTATAAGGTGTGAACGAGGCAAGAGGTGTGAACGAGGCAAGGTGTATAAGGTGTGAACGAGGCAAGGTGTGTAAGGTGTGAACGAGGCAAGGTGTGTAAGGTGTGAACGAGGCAAGGTGTATAAGGTGTGAACGAGGCAAGGTGAGGTGTGAACGAGGCAAGAGGTGTGAACGAGGCAAGAGGTGTGAACGAGGCAAGGTGTATAAGGTGTGAACGAGGCAAGAGGTGTGAACGAGGCAAGGTGTATAAGGTGTGAACGAGGCAAGAGGTGTGAACGAGGCAAGGTGTATAAGGTGTGAACGAGGCAAGAGGTGTGAACGAGGCAAAGTGTATAAGGTGTGAACGAGGCAAGAGGTGTGAACGAGGCAAGGTGTGTACGGTGTGAACGAGGCAAGGTGTATAAGGTGTGAACGAGGCAAGGTGTGTACGGTGTGAACGAGGCAAGGTGTGTACGGTGTGAACGAGGCAAGGTGTGTACGGTGTGAACGAGGCAAGGTGTGTACGGTGTGAACGAGGCAAGGTGTGTAGGTGTGAACGAGGCAAGGTGTGTACGGTGTGAACGAGGCAAGGTGTGTACGGTGTGAACGAGGCAAGGTGTGTAGGTGTGAACGAGGCAAGGTGTGTACGGTGTGAACGAGGCAAGGTGTGTACGGTGTGAACGAGGCAAGGTGTGTAGGTGTGAACGAGGCAAGGTGGCACGGGATTTTATTTTTGTTTTCATGAAGGGTTTTAGTTTTAGCTTTAGGGGTGACTTCTCGCTGTACATTTTGAAGACATTTTCCAATGAAGTATAATAGTCCGAGAGCATTGCCCAAACCACGACTGAAGTCCCTGAATATTCAGACATTAAAAAATTTCTACATCTGAGCATGAGAGAGTAGAGAAAGTAAAAGAATATCCCTGTAATGTCCTGGGTTCATATTAGACTTGTGAATTAGTTTATACAAAGGTACTTTGAAACTATGTCATGTGAAAAGAACAAAAACAAACTATGATCCTTCCTCGGCCTACAACAATTAGATATCTAGGTCAACAATGAGTAAGGAATTAACTTTTGTAAGGAAGGACTTCCATAAAGAGCGATCCCCCCATCAAAAACAATCCTAAAGAAGAGACCTAACCCTACAAACCCCACCCCTAGCCTAGCCCTCTATTTTACTCTGTCTCATAGCGCTCGCTCCTTACGGAAGTCCTCCCTTTTTTAAAGTCAAGAAGTTGAAGAAGCCCTTCCCGTTTTACTTTTAAAGGTTTAAAAACTTCTGCTTGGCCTAAACTTTGATAACTAACGTGAGAAAGAATAATAAAGGCGGTAAAAGTAAAGTAGTTGCAAATCAAAAATTAAAGTCAAAGCCTAAAATGGACTAAAACTAAAAAACTCTAAGTCTGGATGTGTAAAGCCCGCTCACGGCTCACGCAAAGAAAATTGATTAACATTACTACATCAAACGTTTGATTGCAGTGCTCCGAATCAAATCCTACTAGAATTTGACGCTGATGAAGATTCTGAAGTCAGACTTGCAAAATTTTGACTTTGGCACCCTTTTGTTTTTAGCGTCAAGTACCTCGATCTCCGATCTGACAGATAATTTTCAGTCTCGTTCTGAATTCAAGCAATCTCACGGTTTGTTGAGATTTTTAGGAAGTGCCTATTTGCAACGCCGTGTTGCCATTAGCGCCAGCCCTAAATAAAACGTCGTGTCGCCGTGCGTGTCGCCATGCGTGTCGCCGTGCGTGTCGCCGTGTGTTAAATATAAGGCTTAATCTACCTTTCTTTGTTGGGAGTTTGGATGGCCAAAAGGGCAGCGTGTCTGTGTATGAAGTCAAATCATCAATTTATGAGTGGGTTCGAATCCTGGTCCTGGAAGGTTTTTTTTCTTCTATTTTTTCTCTTCTTCTCCTCTTCCCGACTGACCAACAATTTCTTCCTTAATTATTATAACTTGTTGCTTTGTAGTTTTTTCTGTAGTGAACTAGATGGAGCATGCACATTCTGGTTTTGTCCCCAAGACGAGCTTTTACACCAACATGACTTTTCTTTTTACCAAAAATTAGGCCTGGTTAAAGTTCAATAGTGGCTTTCCTAGGTCACTGAGTCTAATTATTATCTTATTTTTATTTTAGGCTCAAGAGAAGAAAAGAAAAAAAATTTCCAGGGACCGGGATTCGATGCCATGCTATGAAGCACTGAACATTAGAGAACGTAGATCTAGACAGCTTGTGTAGGCCTATATGTTCTCTAGGCCTAACGTTAGAGAACGTAGACACTACCCCCTGCTAATTAAAACGCCAAAGCCTAGATCAGGCGATGTAATGTGTGATGGCAATATATACAGTGCACGCAGAGATAATATTTTAATTAGATTCTAGATTTATTGTATGATGACACCGCGGATAGGAAATATAAGATCTGGATCTAGTGCTGACCGAGTTGTACTGTTTTGTTATTAAATTGTTATCATGCGCATTTCGACTTACTTGCTCAAACACCAACTCAAAAGATGATGATTATGAGAGATGAATAGAGTAGATCTAGAGAATCTAGAAGAATCTATTTTTGCGCAAACAATGTCAGAAACAATAGTTAGATCTAGATCAGATCTACCAAATATTGATCGGAAGACAACGTCGTAAAAAAAGGAGTCAAATCCTAGGAGGTTTATCCAGAAACTGAGAAAACTTCCACAATTCAGGCAGAACTACAATATTATTATGCAGAAACGATGGCTACTGGATCTAGTACTAGCGTTTCAAATAGCATGGGAGCTCAGAATCAGAACGCAGCGTTTCAAATAGCATGGGAGCTCAGAATCAGAACGCAGCGTTTCAAATAGCATGGGAGCTCAGAATCAGAACGCAGCGT